TCTCTCTCTCTCTCTCTCTCTCTCTCTCTCTCTCTCTCCGTGTCTGACCAACACTGCCGAATTGCTCGAAGAAGAAGAAGAAGAGGAAAAATAATAATAAGAAGAAGCAAAAAAGAGAAGAGCAAAGACGAAGAAGGGGGGAAAAAAGAAAGCTCGTGCTTTTCTTTTGAGGATTTTTCAGGGCTGTGAGGTAGGCCTCGTTGGCCACGACCGCGGCCAACTTTTCCGGCCGCGTCGGCCGATTTGCCCGCGGCCTAGGCTGCAGGTGTCACATAGCTCGTACGCTCCTTCCGAAATAGACGGGGCCTTGGAAGTTGGAGCTTTACCGCGGCCGCAGGCAATGTGCTGGACGAACCCTTATCTGTGGTGGAACTACCGTGGAAGTATCCCCCCACTTGCATGTCCACCACCGTCTTTTATTATTTCAAGATGGCTCCTTTTGTTTCGCCAGATCGAGTCGCCTTTCCCAGGCAGTGGGCGATGATTGCAAGATCTTCCTTCCATGAATGGTTTCCAGGAGGCCAGTGACATCCTTTTGCAGCGGCGCTACGGCAATAAGCCAATCGAGTATTTGGTGTGTTTTTCTTATTGCAGCCATATGGCTTATCATTGGTTGACCCGTGCGGAACTTCAGGCTATGGCCCCCGACATGCTCACATCATGAGTTGCATGTTATGAATGCAAGCAACATCTTGAGGGCAAGACGACATTCTTCGGCTTCACGCCGTACTCGCGTTCAGGTTCCACCTTTGGATCGACAGCTTCGCCCTTGCCCTGGCTCGACTTCCTAAGGAGGGGGGGGTGGTGTAGCATGCTGAGGCCTATACACCTATGAAATTAGTATGAATCAACCCCGGTCATGATCGGGGGCCATTTTGCGACTAGCGACCGGGATTGTGGTCGGAGCCTATGTTACCGCTCGTTCATTGAACGCACGTTACGCGTTCAGTTTTTGAACGCTTTGAACACGCGTTCACTAAACGCCCCTAAACGCAGTTGACGCATTTGCGCAGGGGTCTTTTGGGGCTTGGGGGGTGCCTCTGAGGCCGCTGGAGGGTCGCCGATGCTCAGGGGAGCCTGCTGGGAGGTTGTAGTCCCGGGAAAAAAAA